ATATTAAAGAGGAATAGTCTTGTCTTGTCTAGTATCGTATGCACTCTTGTACGTACATGCGTTCTGGGTACTTTGCTTTGTTTATCTATCTCTCTATCTCTCCAAGAGTTTGATATTTGCGGAAGGAAGGAAGGAAATGGACAGAGGGAGGCTTGCGTCTCCTTTATTTGTCAGGACCTATGCGTTTACGCTGCTAGTGCGGCTGAACGATATTGTGCGTCTGCTTTTCCTATGATCTTTCTAAATGTTATGCTTTTGCGTACATACTTCATGAACCGTGGGCACTGAATGTAAAGAACGTCCGGGAATGAATGGGAATGGTCTGAAAATGTGGTCATAAAATCACAATGAGTTATCGGAATTTTAAACTTTTTGCATATGTATAATACCAAATACGTACCTACATAATTTAATTAATAGCTAAGGCCGCCACCCCCCCGGTGGCGACTAGTTCGATTTTCTTGCGAAGATTTTTCATTAAATTTTTTCCCGAAGTTTTTGCCACTTCCGAGGTGATTTTCTTCCATCGTCCTTTGAATTTTCGAAAGGTGTCAGGCACATCTTGAAGCCGGGAGTATACTGACTTAGAACGTGCATAGAATTTTTCGATTGGGCGGAGTTGGGGTACATTAGGTGGGTTGATATCGTTTGGTACGAAATCAATATTTTTCTTTCTGAGGTACTCGGTCACTTTCTTTGCATAGTGACAAGTGGCGAGGTCAGGCCAAAACAAAACTTTATCATTTTTGTGAAACCTATTAATAAATGCTTCCAATCCAGCTTTGACACAATTTTTCAGATAAATATCTTGATTGATATTCCCTTCGAGAACTACCGGGTCTGATACATGTCCGTGACTGGAGATGCATTGCCAAATGCAATATTTCTTTGGAAATTTGTCTTTTTTTCGTACTTTTTCTTCATAAGCCACTTCAGAGGGATCCGAGCTATGAAAAAAATGACGCCCTGGAAGATTTGAAGGGTCAACCGGAACATACGTTTCGTCATCCAGGATCACTACTTTTCCACGCATTTTCTTCAACAATTTTTGACATCAATCCTTGATCCGACTTTCTTGTACGGGCTTGTAATTTGGTGCAGGTTTTTTGGTCCTTGCTTTGATTCCTAATTTATGGACCTTAATTTCCCCCAGGTAGCTTTTGGAAATTTTGACTTTCCTGGCAGCTACAGCTACTGACGTTGATGGCTTGGTTTTGAAAATTTTTTCAATTCTATTTTTCACTCGAGTGGTCGCTAGCTTCGCCGGACGACCAGCTGGCTTCTTGAATTGCACATTTTCGGAATCCTTGAACTTTTTTATGTAGGAATACACATTTGAACTTGGAATTCCTTCCTGCTTAAAAAAGTTCCAGGTCACCTTGGAGTCTCGGTTGGCTGTCGTGTTGTAGAACTCCATCACTCGTTTTGCTAACAGCTCCCTTTCAAACAAGCTTCTTCTACCCTTATCCATTTTTGAAATTTAAGAGTGATATACCAAATTGACCCTAATGAAGTGGGCTTTCAGAAATTTAAATTATTATAGTTCGCGGGTTTATTTATTTGTCAATATACTCGCTAGAGCGCGCATTCCCATTCATTCCCGGACGTTCTTTATGTATCTTTTGTTACTTTGTCTCTCTCCTCTGTGACAAAACATGATGGTCGTCGTGGTTGGGAAGATGAAAACCTCAAGCTGCATCCTCCACTCAGGGAAACATCACAATCAATCTCGAATCATTTCACTCTCAGGATTTCTGTAGTGGGCAGCGGTTATCTAAATTGTTATGTCTGGATTTTTTTCTCTTATCTCGACTTCCCCCAGCTTGTCAGGTCAGTATACTCCTCGTTGTGTCACGCTTGTCAACTCCAACGCTACTCTTGGACTTAACTTAACTATTCCAATAAGCCACCAAGTAAATATAGGGACTGATAACAAAACCACATTCACTTACTTTTTCGGATTACAACAAAAACATAAAATTCATAAAGGAGAATTTCGAAGGGTTTCTTCCACAGGGTGGTTTCTTCATTATGACCAAACTCAAATCCCCAACTGGTAGTAGGAAATCCCAAAATTGAGATGATTTCCACTTTAGCCCCTCGTTCTTATCAAGTTTCTTGTCGTTTCCACTGCGATTGCCACTCTGCTGTCAACCAGTGTTGTTCATTCACGCGGTTGGCATTTGGAGGAAAGGAAAGAAGCGGAACAAAACTCATTATCAAGATCATTATCGGAGAAATGAAAATTTATTTTATGGATCCAAACAAACTTTGGTTTTATTATTTGTGTCAGTGTGAGTTCTTCTCCACATCCCTCCTCATTTTCGTAATTGTGCGTATGTCCGTCGTAAGTCCGTCAAAATCAAGTCAATTACTTAGTTAGTGCTGAACAGCATCAATGCCATAATAATAACTGGAAATTCTGGTGGTTTGTGGACGAGAGAATGAACGCTTGAGGAAGAAAAGTCGATTTCAACCAACTTCCAAGTGTCAAGAAGCAGATGCCAAGACACGTGGCCTGGCTGGCAAGCCATTAAACCATGAATCCACCATAAGCAACCAATAATCTGGTGGTAGTAGCTTTCCAATTTGATGAGTCTGACTTATCTTAACTAATATAACCCCACTGCATGTTCGATATCACACATAGCGCCGACCTGCTGCCGTTCAATGAATGCGCCATGCATAAAAAACTTCCAAAAGTGCAGCAAGAAATTGGATTGCACAGAAAAAATGGCTCCGTGAATATGCATGTACAACCAGGCGCTAACAAATAGAAATGGAAGCAACCGCGGAAGTCAAGGTTATCTGTTTAAGTTGAACCAGAAGCAGCGTAATCGTAATGTTCATACATAAATGTTCAATTCAAGAGCGAAAAGCCGACAATCCAAATGCTGCAATTCGAGTGAACTGCGGCAGTCTAAAAAAAGTAGTAGCATAAATGGGCATTTTAATTTCTTTGTCTGAAGCCAACTAGGGTTGAGCGAGGATGATCCGAAAATTCCGATTTTTGTAAAGGTCAACAGCTTATTCAATGCACCACTACCTACCGAAAAGTATCAAAGAAATTGTGCAATAATAATAAGACCAGGAGATGAAGATGGACTTCTAAGAATTGATCCAGCAGATATTTCGACATTTCAGAGATTTTTAAAACTTTTTCTGCACCACCACCACCATCATCATCATTTTATCCAATGCACTCCCCTCTTATTTTATGAGGGATTATTACAAAGGACGTAAAATGTAAATCATCATGATGACTGCAGATTCCAACAAATATAAGATAACGAATATGAACGATTTGGTCTTGAGAAATCTGGGCAAAGCGAGGTAATCGGTTGGTTGATGCATGCTGATGCGCGATGCCGATTGTGAATGTATTAATGTGTCCATATTTTGTACTTATCCATCCACATTAGACATTCATCGGAAAGAGTTCATTCATCAGATTAGGAGAAGAAATAAAAAGAACTTGGTCTCCGGTTGAAAGAAAGATGCATGAGGACGGCAGTATTTAGATAAATTTTATTACACATTACACGATTTAATCTCCTAATCATCTTAAATACCCACTGGCACTGACAACGCAGCCCCCACACAGACAACTAGCCATGCACTTATAGCACTGAGCATGAGTCCGTATATCGTACATATGTATATTTACGCTGCATCAGCTTAGGCGTGTTAAATTTATTATGAATTATTGAATGAATGTTGCGAGTGGGCTAATAATAAATAATTTATTCAATTAAGCACTTTGTTTGGTCGACATTTTAGTGCTTCATCATTTTGGATTGTCATCGATTAAATTGATCTGTACCAGGTTGTCATTTGTCACAGTTTTCCTAAAGGTATTTGATAAGTCATTTGCTGGAAATCATCATCATCAAGCAGTAAAAATATTTTCATAAATTTTGAATCAGAAAAATTCCAATTTAAAATAAGAGCTAAGAGGGCATCTTGTAATTTTCTGTCTTTCTCTCTCGGCATATTTAACAGTTGCTCGTAACCTGGGGTCTGTAACGAAGGACCAGCGAGCGATGTCTGCGATGTCTGACAGTGAAACTTATTGTGGTTGAAAGGGAAGAATGTCCTAATTTCTGGACTTGAGCTATATTATGTAAAAGGTGAGTTTGAACTGTGCATTACAAGGAAACCAGTTTCTCTTGTGTTAATTCGATTCCCATCCAATTTTAGAACTTAAGTCTGAATGTGTAGCTGGCAAGAAAGAAGACTCGACCCTCAAAGTAAAATTGATGACTTTTTGTATATCTATGTATTATTTATGATAAATGTCTGTGTGGTGTGTGCTCCACAATCATATACTTCGTGAAAATGGAGTGTATGTATTTATACAGGTATCACGTATACTGACTAATTTCGTGAACCTTCGGTACCATTAAATGGTTCTTGCTCACTTATTATTTGCAACCATAACGCTTATATTTCCTGTTCCTCTCCGAAGTCCTTCTGCCCAGCACATGTCCAACACAAAAACCTGAGGATGCTCACACACAAGGGACAATATTATTGCGAGTCCTCCATCCAAGTGAGTGAGCCCTGCGAGCTCTTGCACCACCCCACCACTCAATTTGAAAGGTACAAATGAGTCCAATCCATGCTCTTGAAAAGAAAGGTATAAAATTTAGGTGAGAGCCATGTACTGCTTCATGCATCGTGTGTAAAGGGACCAAATTGAACCTCTTCCGTCAAAGATGAATAATACTATTAGGCTCCCTTCTCGACAATATTTTGTGTTGCTTTTTGTCGAGATACTCGCTCACCAACAACTCGATTTCATTTTATGATCCAAAATATTGCGCAAAAACATGCGGTGAAGAGGTCATGTCAACTTTGTATCAACGATGAAACTAATATCTGGATAAATTGATTATTGATGCTAAAACTTTTAAGAATTCGAGCAGCTTCTTTCAGCGCGAGGACGAAAAATGCATGTACATGGTATAAAAATACATATAAAAATACGGTTGACTTACCATGGCACGTTTCCCGATGCGAGATGTTGGGCGACTGAGAAGCCAAAGTAAGAGGAAGGCTCACCTCGCTTAATGACAGGTAACTTCGGTTCAAGGTTGAAGCCCAGCACTTCTTGGTCACTTACGCAATGAAGAAGCAGCACCATCATCACCAACGGCAAAAAGAGCACTCCACCACCCATTCTCATCCCCATCGTCCAAGTCTTCTTCTTTTTCGTGGACAACAAATAACTCACAATAAAACACTCCCTTTCATTCCCACTCTGCATTCTTCAAACTCTCACACTTCTTCCCATCCTATTGTCCCAGCCAACCTCCCTTTTGACAGCTTCGATTCTCTCTCCTAAAAGGTAGCTCCAAGAGATGAGGAAAGATTCGTTTTACGGAATTTTTACATTTCCTAAAACTACTTACTTACTAGAAAAGTCGTTGTGAAATCGTTTTCTTAATTTCAAACGGGTATCTTTATCCCAATCTCCAATTTACTGTCCTGTTATTATTATAACCCGAACTTTGTGACTTACTGCTCCGCGCAGTTGCGTCCTGACATTAATGTCACTTTACTTTGTTAAGAAACTGTCCTTCCCAAGAAAGGACCGAGTTGCAGATGATCTGAGCGACATGGAGTAAGCGTCACATTTGTAAATTTATAGATTGATACTTTGTTGGCCAAATAGGCACCCCAAAAATAAAATAAAATAAAAATCGTGGCTTGTCCTGTGGTGGGAGAGGTCCGAGAAAAAGTTTTGTGAACACAGGATCTCACTCAGGAGGAAGAATTGGCGATTGTTTGTACGTTTCTTCTCCTCTTCCTCTTCATTCACTTGCTACATAATTTAATTTATGCCCAAAGCAACGTATGATTAAGAATGATTCGTCTTCTTGTTGTATGAGAAGAGAGAGAGACTTGACAGCAGAATCGTGGATTCTTTGGTTTTCTTGGCAAATAAATTTTCAAGTGCGAGTAAGCTCTTAGAGTCGTCAGTCGTTATAATAATGTGTATCGGGCCTCGCACAAAGGACTTCTTCACCAAGCACACGTTGTAAATCGCTTGCTGTAAACTTTAAGACAATGTTGCTAGATACATGAAGATTGGAGAAATATTAGAGAAACAACAATTGTCAGATATATCACACTGACTGGAAAAACGTGCAAAACTTTTCGTGCCGGTTGCTATCAACAGTTTATGAATGGAAAAATGCTTTACTGACTGAATTCATTTATTTACTGCCCAATTTGTCCAGACAGACAAGCAACGAATTTAAAATTACAACCCACAATTAAAGAAACAAGATCATGATTAGAGTTTATGGTCTTACGAGTTGTCAATCATGGCACGTTGACAAAAACCATCAACTTTTGCGAGTCATGTCATTATTAACGAGATGAGTATTAACCACTTATAGTTTAGGATCTGGAGGTTTTTATCTTGATGTCTGATGAGAAAACAAAATGGAGAATCACGACACGACGTTGAATGATACACAAAGTTATGGAGACGAACTTCTTATTTTACGAAATGTTTGGCGAGTTTTATTAGACGACGATAAATTCAACTCTGATATTATTAGAGTTTAATTCAGCACGGCGTTGTGCAGCATGCAGGATGTCTTGCAAGTTTTTAAGCAAAAGTCATATCTGATGCTTCTACAGCAGGTTTATATTTTCATTAGCACAATCTTTACATATTTTTTGGATGATGTTAGACACGATGTGATGGGCCAGTCAAGTGAGGTGGCGTACGAAGAGAATTGTTTGTTGTTCTTCGCCGAGTTAAGTTTTCATCTCATGTTTCGTCAGTTTTCCTGTTTTCCTTCGTAAATTGTTGGTTTGGTGTTGATTATTGGTAATGTTGTGTGATTAGAGAATACCTGTAAAACAAAAATCAACAAAACAGGATCAACAACTGGAAGATGATATCACTGCCAAAGGAGAAATATAATAGATTAGCACATTATTCATTGTGACGTGATCTTCCTCCTTTCGAATACTATCATCATCATCCACCAGCATTGCCATACAATTTTTCGACTTGAATTTGCACATGGGCAATTACATTTGTAACAATGTAACTGAATTGACAAAAGAAATTTCATGTTCCTCTATGTGAAACTGAATATGCATTCGTGCATTGTGCTGTGGATAAGTTTGCACAAGAGGTTTTCCCCGTTGGACTAATCCTAAGGTGGACGGAGTAAAAGGTGTCGTACACAAAACTTACGTAATAACTATTTCCATCCAACAGTTTGTTGGACACTGCGAGTACCTACCTACCGTCATGCAACAAAGACTTGGACATAATGCTTAATAGAAAATCTTTTGTGCTGCATTATTCAATTAAACATATGCTGGGCACGACGAGATGGATGAATTAAGAGATGCGTGTACAATGGCGCTAGTCATAATAAAATGAATTTAATTACAAATACTGGTCCAACGAGTACAAGAAACTCGTGGTGTCATGTTTTCTACAGATATTAAAATTTACAATTCATTTTGTGCACAGCAATGCACTATTAACTACGAAATGGTAAATGGTCATCCTCCTCCTCAGCGTTTATACTCAATTTAACGTCATATCGTACTGACAGCTAGCCGGACTCCTGGGGTACACGCAGTTAATCCACACACTAACGGCAGGATTCCTCATCTTAAGAGATTCTTTAAATTATTTTTTAATTAACAAGGTTTTTATGTTGATATAGATTTGCAACAATCTGTGTAACATTTTCAGTATCCAGGCAGCCCGTATCTCGCGAGTTCATCGAGAAGTAAGTTTTTTGGTTCATTTTACGAATATCAGCAGACCGCAGTCAGTTGATGTAACGTGAGAATAATGTGATTTTACAAGGAGGATGGTCTGACATGTTGGTGTGACTGCGTGTGTTAGATTTCAAGATATGAAAAAGAAGAGTTTAGTTGGTGGCAAAGAGTATGAGAAGGCTTTTGATGGCACTTAATGCGTATTGTGTTACGAGTTACACCACACGATATGATGAGCCTTGAGTGGCTTTAACTCAATTTATTATACATAACCAACTGAAACGTTGGAAAATGGTGTGCTTATTGTCACCATCAATTACTCTCAATTATTAACTCGTTCAATTCATTTCACTTTCATGTACATTTTATGAATCACATCATCACCACGGCGCAGAGTGAGAGATACCAGAAAGTCCATGTATCTACTGGTACTCAAGAAAAAATTACTTCAAATCTCTGTGAAATTATATGAAATTTGCGAATCTATGTACAATTCCTGCGGTTTTTTGTTGCCCTCTCCTCTACTTAACCTCCATTTCGTGGTTAGATTAGTGGGAATAACCGACATTATGTGTATACATTCCTTTGATGCGGTTTGCAGAGTGTGAAAAAGTCTGTGTGATCTTATATTACGCTCATTAATATATATGCGCTCCTTTATGATGCGTAATAATACCAACTAAATGAAGGGCGACAGACGGAAGTGATGGTAGAGTTAAGATGATGAAGAAGAAGTGGTGACGACGACGACGACGGTTGTGCGAGGATGAAGCATAAAGTAAATTCATTGTATTGTAAAGAAGAAGATGAGTGGTTGTGTAATGAAAATTCTGTAATTTCCAAGTTCATCACCCATCGACTCCCTATTCATTTTTCTTGAAGACAGCTTCTCACTGAACATGATTCAGACCGTATAATTCAATCCCATAACAAGTAATTTATTCTTTTTGTTGATGCAATAAGCAAATTGTTTCTTCTCGGACCACGAATGATGCCAGTCAAGGAGTGTCTTACACGTTATTTTTCCTAGCGGCTCCAGCTTCTTTGACTATTGCGAATACTTTGTGTTCGTCACCGAGTTAAAAACATGACGTCAATGAAATTGAATTCTTCGAAGGTAGTAGTTGTCTCAAGTCGCCGTGTGCAGCGATGAATTAATGGCATAGAATTGCTAAATAGTGTGGCTAATTAAAAATTTGAGCATTAATCGGCACCTTCCCATCCCAGGGAGCAAACAGTGGATGTAGTAACACCACGGGAATGTGAAACTAGACAAATTTGTTTGTGCAAACAGAGATTTTGCCAACAGCTATTGTTTGCAAGATTAAGAAGAAGAAAGATGCTGCATATTTGGGACAAGAAGAATTATTTACACATAAAATATGAAGTTTAAGTGAAGGGTAATAAAAAGCTGGAATTTTAATATCAACAATCAACCCTTCAAGTTTTATGTACTTTTAATACATTGTTAACTTCACATGCCCACGGTGTAAATTATTGCACAACACAGTATACATACTTGCATACATATGTGGAGGAAATGTGCAATTGTTGGAAAAAATGTGCTCGTAAGAAGAGCGGAAAGCTATGTACACACCGCAATATATTGTAAAATTGAGTAGCCACACCAGATAAAGCTAGGCAGGAGACTAGTCAGACTATAATTTTAAGATTGGAATACATACATAAATGTGTAAAGTAAAAGACGATGGATGAGGAGGTGGTGTACAACGTGAGGAAGAAAAGGAACGAACAATGAACTGGATCTCCGATGGATTTTATCTCCCAAACTTCTTGTAAAACTGCTATTCTGCTATACATGAGCAAAAGCAGGGTGCATAATACGAGTGATATCTTCCACAAGACCGGAGATAGCGATTCATTTTATTGTATGCCAGCTTGGCGTCAAGCATTCGCTTGCTCTGACTGACTCTGAGCTGAGACATGGCAAAGCTAGGTTGGCCAATTTTTTTGCAAACTTGAGAAGAAGACTCGACTCAGATGTATGTATGTATGTATTACATATTCCGATTCATGCTTAAGCCCTCGGCTCCCAGCTTAACTTCTTACATACTTAAATCTACTACCGAACGAAGGAAGGAACATGGTCCAGACTTACGAGGATGTATATTGTGCATGTACTTAAGTAGTAAAAGGAACGCGAATAAGAGCAAGCAAGCCTACACTTCTTGTATTAAAAGAGTATGAAAATAGCCGCAGGATGATGAATAAATATGCGATTCATCCAGTCAGTAGTGCAAAATATTAATAGTCCAACTTGAGCTTATCCCATCTTCCCAAATTGCAAAGAGTTTGTTTTCCATGTTCTTATCTCATTTAGCAACAACGGGACCATAATCAACGGCGAATGTATTTATTACATAAACAGGATAGCTAGCGTTGATTTTAGCACAAGTGTTGCGAAAGAAACGTACAGATTAATGAGAAATGTGGAACTCTGTGGTACAATCTTTTTCCTTTAGCTCGCATTCATTACAGATACACATTCACACTCATGTCATAATCCAAACATTCGATATGACACATGTTCCATGATAACTTGCAAAAGAGTTTTTATGACACAAATAACTAATCAAATTTTGACATTTTATCAAAATAATAAATATTTTAATGCGTAAAATAAGGATGACCAAGACTCACTTTTATTCTCAATTTGACTCTCCTCCAGTCGTGTCTCCGGAATATTCCTTCTTTAATACAACTTCACAATCACACTGCAAATAAATACTTGTGTAGAACTCAACTTTTTATTGTCTAAATATTATTCGAACTCGGTTAACGTAAAATGGCGTAAATCTCAATTGTTAACATGTCTTTTACGCCCAGAAGGATGAGCAATTTCTCGTGAAATTGAGACACGTAATGCCAAAGTCTTTGCCTGTAGTGGGAGGAAGGAACAGAGCGTAAAATGCACCTCCTCTCCATTCGACTGCCTGATAAAGACTGATCTCTCAAACATTCTCTCACTTTGCTCTGCTCTGCCACCATCAGTTTTCATGCAGAGAAGAGTTACCAGTTACCAAAAGTGAAATCATTGTGCGTGGTTTGTGAGCACTCTTTGCCCACTTCTGTCAGCTTTAACACCAACCAGAACAATTTTATAGTCTCTGCGGCTGTGACCACTTGAGTATTAAATGACAACCACTCAGAAGGATTAATAAATACGGTTTTAAATGCATTTGAATCATGTAAAGAGCCATTAAAAACATGAAATGTAATTTTGCATACAGATTCCAGCACAGAATTTGTCCAGGTTTGAAATTGCTCAGTTCTTGGGCAGGTTATATAGCTGACGAAGGTGCAATGTCATAGTCAGTTATACAGTAAAAATTATACTCCAGTCCAGACCGCGGAATTTGTGGCAACGTCATTATTACCGGTTTACAGTTTATATGCGTAATAATCTTGCCATTCAGTAATCCTCCTGGACTTTTCAGAATCCCGTGTGTTGCACGTTTGCTTGTTTTTTTATGCCGAATTTTTTTAAAACCGGTAAATAAAAGACGACGACGACGACATTTCCGACTCATTGACCTACCTCACACAGGGAAAAATTGAATGAACAGTACAATGTTTTTCTAGACTTATGTGTAAGCTCTGATTCTATTCTACACACGGATGTATAATCCTTCAATTGTGCAATGAGTGGGATAAATCACATTGAGAGGAAAAAGGCGACACAAAAAAGTCTTTTGAGGGTTCACTGATTTCAAAAGGATTTTCATACGTGTACATTCTCCATGATAATCACAACCGGAGGATCACATCATAATAATAATTCAATTCATTCACGAACCTCATCGACCCACAAGAGAGACTCCACTTAGGTAAACACCTTTCCTCTACTTTATCACAAAACAAAAGGTCATCCCAATAAAACACCACATAAATAATTTGAAACTATATAAAGGTGAGTGGAAATTCGTGCCTGCTGCGAATAATAATGTGGCAATGTAGCACCGCATGAAGAATACATTAGTCTGTCATACATACTTATTTACAACAAGACTCGCAATAACATTGTCTGCCAAAATGAACTCTTGAGACTGAATTTAATAATATTTTGAGTTGTGCCGTTCCTGTTGTGGCATCGCATCTCGTATTTTGATTTCCCTGACTGATGACAGTCATTATTGATTACAGGATATTTATATTCGTTTACGTTACATAATGGGCGCAAACATACGTAGTTGTGGAGCGTTTAAATGTATTTTTGAAGCCATGCAAGTGCAGGTAGTAAGTACGTCTTGCATTTGAAAACCCTAGTCCAGTACCTGCAATAGTTACGTGGAATCAGACACTTAAAAAACTATGACGCCTACAATGATTCAGTGCTATTGATGTTCAATTAAGATTCGGTTGATTTCATTAGACACATTGTGAACGAAGAGCCGTGGAAGGCTCAACTCTTCCTTTTGTACGTCCACCTCTCCTACCCTTGTTGCTTGCCTGAAGAAAGAAAATAATTCAAAATCAAACAATTTGAAACCTAAACAAACATCAAAGCAAACAAGTGATGAATAAAGCGTCGACAACTATCCAAACTATTTGTTTAAACGTTCACAGCTTTCGAACATGTACTTCCTTAAATAAGTGTCTGTCTGGTCTGTCTTCTTGTCCAACGACAGCAACAGTCATCACGGTGCGTTGATTGGAATGGGTGATATTTAAGCGTCCATGAGTACCTGCTTAACTAACTACTTGCGACCAATCCTATTATTATGTCTACTTTTCACTGTGTACGTTACAGGTACATGTTTTGCTTTTCTTCCGCTGGTCACTACTGGTGGTGAAGGTGGAAAAGAAGATCCATTTATCAACTGGCTCCGTTTAACCAAAGGTGAAAATGCCATCAATTTCAATCGAAGATAATTCATAGCGCAAAAAATTAATTAGTAATAATTGTCTAAAATATAATGGGAAAGCATTAACTATTTTGAGAATCAAGTGATGATATATCGAATTCACTTTTTGTAATGGTACGTAGTTTCACCATAATAATGCAATGTAATAAAACAGTTGGCTAGCCTGTCAAATGTGCAGCATCATTGCTCACTCGATAATAATAAATAATTTCGTAGTGGTTGCACAGCCAAGTTCAAGATAAACAGTTAGTAAATCAAGGGAAGAGGGGTCGTCGTCAGTTAACGAAATAAATGGTAAGAAGATCATACACAACTCTGTGCTGGACTTATTGCTCGGCTACTTACATATTCCAAGCTATAGTCTCATTAGTAATTCATGAATTTCTTCACCTCCAAAATATAACCTTTTAAAAATGTTTAATGCCCTTCTACTTGTGAGCATTTCAATTTTTTGTGTACCTTCCAATTCAATTTCTTAGGTTCTGGCTGGCTGACAAAACCTGGGTTTGGTAGCTATTTATGACTCTCTTACTTATTAGTGCGTCTTCCTTCCGTGCATTATCTCAACCCGTTGGAATCACAAAGGAAAATTCATAAAGGGAGAAAGTTAACTAACCTTTATCATATTATACGCAACGAAAGAGGAAATCCTTAATTGGTACAACTGTTAAAAAAGTCTTCATCCGCTGGTCCTTTTTCAAATCGAATTTTAAAATAATGCTCAGCAGTGGCGGACATTGCAGGCTACCATCAAAATTGGTTTGTTACATGATCGCCACTAAGGAGTTAGTCGTTTTAATTCATAAATTCATTGTACGCACTTCCTTAATTCTTGACAATATGTGTGGGAATTAAATCTGGTAATAAATACAATTCTTGTAGCATGTTGCGTTCCCATGATAAAAGGACGCCGACCAATAATAAAAGCAAAAGCCGCAGGATTTTTTTAAAATTTGGGTGGATATAATTATAAATGAGTTTGAAACGATTAGACTTTTATTTCAGTGTGTAACTGTAAAATGCGAAGACGAGACAAGTATTTGGAAAATAAATAAAAAATCATGAGAATACAAAAATAAAACAAAGTTCTTTAAATGAGCAAGGAGTGCTCCTGGTCAAGAAGAAGTTAAATTGATCAGGTTGTAAATTTAGCCATCTTTACGAGCTGTAATTCCACAACAGGTTCAATTTCATTTTTACCAGTGCACCACTTCTGTTCAGGAAACCTGAGCTCAAATAGTGAAAGATTTAGTATTTACCTGACAACTCAAACTTGCACCTCTAAATTTACAGTTTCACGCTTCAAACCAGCCAGAAGGTGGGAGTGGAAGGTAATAAAATCAGGAGCAAATATAGAAATTCAAACTGGAGAGAAGTGTTGAATTTGAATTCCTATCCCACATAGGGCCCTGGTCAAAGACGATGATAACTTTGCACTAAAGTCCACCTCACTGAATAGGAATGTCTGACTACACAATATTGGTTGCTTATTAATTCATCAAGTTTTCCATATGCATGGCTTGAATTACACCTTACACCTGATAATATTTCAGAGAAATCAAAAATACATGACTAATATTATGCTGGAGAAATCAGGTAAAAATAGTAAATTCGTGTAGAGATATATGCATTCATATGTAAAAGAAATGAACCAGTCAGCCGGATATTTGCAAAGATTATAGAATTATTGCCAATTGATAAATTTTGATGCATGTATAATATATTCTAGTCAGTAGCATTTAGTAGAAGGACTGAAGGAAGTTTAGGCATAAAATGAATGGCATTTTTTGAGAACACTAATTTGTGGGTTAAAGATTCTCGAAGCAATGCTGCCACACCTCCACAATATGATTTAAAAACTACTGAACATATTCAATTTCATTTAATTTCCTTCCAAGGCATTTTCCGCATCGTTACCTCCTTGGGCTTCAGAATGGCTTGGAGAGCAAAGTGGTATTATGAGCAGAGAGACTGAGGGGGTGACTGAGTATTTTTTTCGTTAATAATTTTATGACTGTGAGAACTTCAATTTATTTACCTTGCTTTAGCAACGTGCAAGATATTTTTCGGTTCAGAAAGCTTTTTCAGACAAATGGAGACATGCGAGGAGATTCACCTGTTAATTTTATTTGTGCGGAAGCTGTGTGGTTAGTGCTCTTTACCAAAATTTACTTGTATTTATGAGTAACAAGTCATAAAAGGGGCTGATTTGACCAGAGTCTGATGTTTTTTTTTGAGCATCTGAGAGAAAACTCCCAGGTATCTAAAATTAAATCTCAAAATGCTGTAATAAGTATTTATGTACACTAAATAGAGTGAACAATAGAACTTTTTCTGAATGTTCTGTTCGTGGAGGAATATGTAATAAAATTTCAACTTCCTGTCGTCGTCGGGAGTCAGACGCTAGTTTATATAGTTTTTTAAGTGTTTTTTTTGTACGGCGGTGGCGATGAAGTTCTTTTGTGACATGCCGAATTAAAAGTTACCGACGACGGGAGATTTTCTATTGAGTAAAAAAAATTCCAAGTTTCGTGTGGTGTATAAATTCAAAAATGTTTTCCACTTTACTGACCGAATCATTCAATATCGTGGTTGACACCATTAAAATCCATAGCTTTTTGGCTATTACAGCATGCATTCTTGAAGCAAATACATAATTTCATAATAGTTAGATCCAAAATAAAAGCTATTATTGCTACAATTGTAACAATTTTGCATGTAATGATACTTTGTTTCGTATGGCAAACAGACTCGGGGTGTAAATTTTATTAGAAAGAACTGACCTGAGATGATGTAAAAAGAAACAATCCTTTTTATTATGCTTTCATGTTGCACAGATTAAAAAGTTTTATCCAAATATAGCCACATCGTGTTACTTTTAATGTCAAGGTTTAAGAAGTCATGCTGTGGTCAATCTACCCACACAGTTCTCTCAAAGTACGGGTGAGATAAATAGCTATTCAGCATTTTGTTGCATAATTACCACCCATGAAATATTCGAGTAAATGAAAAGCCGATAGTTTACGACGACGATCCTCTGTCGTTACAAAATCTGATCTAAATATCTTTTCGCTTAGAATCCAAGTACTTAAATATTTTAAGAAGAAAACCAAATTGTAAACGCGCCTTAACCGGTAATGAACTTTGCAAATGTTGAAGGTAACTTTTTAATGTGCATTTTGAAAAAGTGCACACCTTCAAAAATACAAATGAACTCATGTCTTACAATAAGTATGATAACTGCTCATTCGTGATGTCACCTCACCTCTGTCCTTTATACCGCATGCTTAATTTAGAGTTAAGTCATGATCCGAGAACAAAAACAAATTGACACCTGACCAGCTTGAGTACAACGAATTAAAGAATGAGCAATTGACATGCACATAATATTACAAGTATCGAATTGTTACAGAGTCAGCCAACATTTCTAATCTTATGATTCTTCATTCATCTATTCCTCTTCTTTTATTTATTTCAACTAAAGGACGTGAAATATTTTGCACAAACATTGTTAGCTATATATGGCTTGTTAGTTACTCTTTATGGTAATGATCATCTTTTATTCAGCTTTTGCAGACAGTTATTTTATCCTCAGATAAAAATTTGACACACAACACACGACGCAACAATTATCTTCGTTGTGTATCCCTGTTTGTGTGTCCTAGCAAAAGAAATCAAGTTCAGCTATCTGGTAAATTTAGCAGTACATACATATGATTTCATCATTCGATTTATGATGAAATGATTTTTAAAAATGACGCGTGGATAATTTTTTTAACTTGCCGAAATTGTATAGTGTGTTTTTATCTGCATAAAACAAATTCAAGTCCTTTTCATTTCCTTGTGCCAACATTTCTAAAACACACATTTAATCGTTTCTATCCTGGAGTTAACTAAATATATTCTCTATTACACAACGTTTGAAATTACTAATTTAAGACACGCTTAGACTAAAGTGAAAGAGAGAAGAAAGGAGGAATCCATCCCCATTAACGATTTCCGCTGGTGGGACCACCTATTAATATTACCCGTGAAAATCCGCCTTACCCCACGTTCAGCAGGAAATGTCCATTTTGCAAGTACGTTTCCGTTTACGTTTCGTTATCTCGGAGCGATCTGGACTCCAGAGAAAGTTAATGAAATTAATGACCCCATAGATCATGCACCAAAGTCAAATCAAATTCAATGTGATCATGCTTCACCGCTTAATTATCAACTCCCACCCAACCCCTTGGCACCGATCCCAACGGGAAATAGGGAAAACAATGAAGAATTGGTGTTTCACTTCATTCCGTTATGATTCTATCGTAAAGTCGACGATTGATTGAGTTATTGCATTCTAACGATTGCTGGTATAAATGCAAAAAGTAAATGTAAATATGCACAATGATGTGTACATCAATTCATAAAATATCATCAACAAATAGCGTTAAGACTGTGCAAAAAGCACGTGATCGACTAGAGGGGGGTAAGGGTCAAGCCATTCTGTCTTTCCCCTGTTAATTATAACATGGGGCATATAGATCACACCAGGGGGTAGGGGTCAAAATTCTCTGAAAATGGATCACATGCTTTATGTATGCTTCATCTAAAGATGTTTGGAATGGTATCATAATTATTTTCTGTCATAATTTTTACTGAGTGCTCGGGGTTTTTTCTTATGATTTTTTACCAAGCACCAGAAAAAAAACATTTTGTCTTTGTTCATGGGGATAAAAGAGAATCTCGACCACCGCTACTTTTGAGACATTCGTCGGTTTACTTTCAGCAACGCCATCAAGAACACGAGTTGTTTTTAAAAAATTCCATTTTTGGTAGTTTTGAAATATTTGCGTGATATTTTGGTAGCTTGTTTGGAATTCGGACTGGTTAGTCATTCGTAGCCATTCACAGCGAAAATGTCGGGACGTGAAGGTAAGTGAGCATCCTAAGAGGTTAGGAATTTCAATTTTTTATAATTTGATCGGTTTAGTCATTAGTGGCGTGCAATGTAATAAAATCAAGCTTTTATAAATACTTAATTACAAAATAACACGATTACGAATTTAAAAATGTATAGCTATTTTCATTAATCTCATTGTCGCTGGCCAAGATTTCCGTCCTTAACTATTGGATTAATTTTAAGTGTGAAGTGTGATGTTCTTGAATGATATATCAGGGGTGATGATATTACTTAGTCCCTGGATTGGTGAGGTTTTTAGTAGATACACATTAATTAAGTTTTTAACTTTTCAGGTGGAAAAAAGAAGCCATTGAAGGCCCCCAAGAAGGAGAAGGGTGATATGGATGAGGTACGGCTTTAAAATATTTGCTAGTTAATCTTGAATCGAAAATTTCTTATAAAACAAATACACAAGTTTATTTGTGATTTGTTTTCACAGGACGATGTGAAGCTAAAACAGAAACAAAGGGAAGATCAAAAGGCACTTGACGCCATGAAAGCAAAAGCTGCTCAGAAAGGTCCCCTGGGTAAGAATTTACAGTTTGAAATTCAGTATCACTGAAATCAGTTGCATTAATTATATTATTAATACTAATAAAAACTGTAAATGTTTATATTATCAAATTTAGCCAGCGGAGGAATCAAGAAATCTGGGAAGAAGTAGTAGTAGGAAGAAGTAACTTCTCCATTCCTATTCACCTGAATAATTAATGCCTATACTCCGTTCATGAAAAGATAATTGATAACCAAGTATTGTTAACTTCATTGCGAAACCATGTACACCGTGGATGTCATAGTTGAATAAATTCAATACAACATTTTTATTTCTACGAGTTGTAGAAACATTCATAATAATGCATGTTTGTGTTTTAGACAGAATTGAAGGTAGAGAAATTAGTTTTAAACTTCATAAACAATAAGATGCATGTATAGACAACGAACGAACCAGTAGTATTTATACCCAGAAGGTTAATTAAACATTATCAAGTATATTGATTTTATTTAGTGACACACACTTAATTTGTTCGTGACCCTAAAGACAGCACAAAAATTTACTTTTAAAAAAGTGGGCTCACCTCACCTTAATATATCACTGAAAGATTCACAGACGTACAAATAGTTTAGATTTTATTTTTAAATTGCATAAACAAAGTTTCTAAGAAAATTATAAACAACGAATGAAGGTGCTGCTGCTGTTAGCTTTGATTTTAGTGAAAAAAGGAAGACTTATAGATCTTCATCATCATCGGGTAAGGCAACTTTGTCTGCCTCCTAAAATATGCAAATAAATACATACTAATTTAGATAGTTGCTCACTTCGATACCGATAAAAAGTAATTTGTTTTAAATCATGCCCTTACCTGGAGATCGTTTTCAATCAGTCGTTGCCAAACAGGATCCACAGGAAATTCTGGGGGGAAAGCTGGTGTGGCGACGAACTCAAGGTTGGGATCCCCAATAAGTTTACGAGCCAGCCAGAGAAATGGTTTCTCTATGTTGTCCTTCATCTTAGCGGAGATATCGTAATATTGCAGATTCTTTTTCCTAACAAAATGCATGTTGTTTGGCTTCACTTTACGATCCTTGATATCAACTTTGTTGCCTGTACACACAACAGATCATCAAGTTAAGTTGTCATCCATACTAGAAATCATGTTTTAGACTTTCATTCTCGTGACAATTTTATAAACTCACCGCATAAGACAATTGGCATGGTCTCGCAAACCTTGACCAAATCCCGATGCCAGTTCGGCACGTTCTTATATGTGACCCGAGAGGTCACATCAAACATTACGATGGCACACTGTGCCTAGAAAAAGCGAAAAATTAACAATCCAGGGTTTTTTAATTTATGAGTCATCATCTCTTCTACCAACCACACATAATATGTATTATTTACGCATCTATTTTCCTTACCCCTTGATGCTGACCGTTTCGGAGAACTCCACTCCCCTCTTGACCTGCTGTTTCCCATACGTTGAAAAGGATTGAGCCTCTCGACGTATTGAAGACTAGCGGGTTGACCTCCACCCCCAACGTGGCAACATACTCTTCTTTAAACTCTCCTGTCAAATGACGCTGGACGAAGGTACTCTTTCCAATTCCCCCGTCACCCACCAAAATACACTTGTATGTCGGCACGTCAACATTCTCTTCCGCCATGGTGACCACAAGCTACCTCTAATATGAAAAAATCTAACACTGGGCGACGATAAGCCTTGTAGGAAGGCGAGAAAGCAACGAAGCTGATCCTAGCTGACTGTAGGCGGAAAGTGGGCAATGTCCTCAGTGAAAATTGAGAAAGTAAGAAAAGTTTAGAGTTCATTCCCTGTAGTAGCGTGAGCTTTGGTGGTGGTGCTTCTGGCCGAAAATTCTCTGTAATGTGCATACCCCGGACAAATATTTTTTTATCCTACTCGTGTTGAGCTCAACATGAGTAGGGTAGGATAAAAAAATATTTTTCCGGGGTATGAATGTGTCTAGTTAATACATACAATCAAAACTAGTACTACTACCCATTTTAATCTGTTAAAACCGTCAGATTGAACTTCCTTCAGTTTTTTTACAGGGTGACTTCTCCGCTTCTAAATTTTAAACACTTATTTAGAGCTAATTTCAATGCGAAACTCGAGATGAAAGAAATTTGGCACAGCAAGTTTTTCATTGAGTCTTTTATACATTTTATTTCTCTGTTTAAACTCCTTGTGGAACAATCATAAAGTTTGACATTATTAAAATAAACGAACCCTGATATTGATACCTCATACGCGTATCGCATCACTGTCGTGTTGGGTTCTTTAGTACAATTTTCCTGTTTTAGCACTGTCTCATAATTTGCATGCGCCTGTTTTAGCGTCTTGCATAAGAAGCGCATATATCTTTCTTTCACCCAACGATCCTATAATACAACTCACTCATTGAAGCGATTTAATTTGAGTCAGCTAGTAAATGGTGCAAGCAAGTGTTCAATTTAATTTGGATTTTTGCCCCTTGTCTTTACATGCAAAACCAAAGCTGACTCTATATAAATACATGTGCATTTATATAACACTGTGTATGCCTTGCCCATGTTTCATGGCTAGCTGGGTTGCCATTGCATTTTGTGTTGGATTATAAGAGATTTAGCTAAACGTTAAATGATAATGATATGGAGAATTTCAGTCTAAGTTTGAGTCAATATGCTGTGTTGATCAAATTTGTTTTTGGTTTTGTTGTAATTATATTATTAACGCTGCAATAGCATTTTCAATCTTTACCTCACGACAAACTTGCACGTCGACATGGAAGCAAAAGTAACCCTGCTGCTGCCGACTATAAATGTGATGTGATCCGTTGTGAAGATAAGTAACCCGGGTTTTCTGCACTTTTCATCGTTATGTTGACTAAGTTACGTGTATATAAAGAGATGGATTACTTGGATCTTGTTTTATGTCTCGCACTTTTTACATGCACATCCCCAACTCGTGGTCAGGTTCTCAGGTTCCGACAGTGTTTACGTCCAACTTTTGTGTGTCGGTTAGTTGTCTTGTCAGTGTATGGAAACAGTGTCTGCTGTTACGGACGGTGGCAGATAACTTGTGCATTACTAGGTTGTTGGATTACCGAATAAAATCAAGTCTTTATCAGTCGTCGTGATCACAGGACCAGACCCGACCAAGCGTTGGTGGTCGTTGTTACGCTCTTTGGTGAAGCATGTTTCTTAACATGTCAGTGGTGAGACAAGTCCGTATAAAAGTTTGGGAAAGTGGCTAATCTCAACTTTGCAAAAATTGATTTTCATTGATAAGCATTAGGCAAAACTGCTCGTTTGGCAGTTCAAATTATTCGACAAATTAAATCATTGGATTAGCGTGTTTAACCATAAGTGACAAAGTGAAAGTTCAAAGAACAAAAAGCATCTGAATGTTGAAAAGTTCTGCGACACAACGATCTATTGTGAAAATTGTACAGTCAAATTTTCCGTAACGATTGCTAGTGGAAATTATATGCGTAGAACGAATTCGAATTACTTATGAAAAATCAATGTAAGATACCTTTCGTGTCGGGGATATTATTTTGCAAGTAAAAATTTATACCGTAATTGTTATCAAATCTCAAAATCCGTGTTCTATTGTTCAACTGTTGTCCAAATTACTTAATTTGTTTTTGCTTCCAACCGTGTTCATATAAATTTTACTTATCTGACTTCAGTAGCTTCGCCTTACATATTATGTAAGTAGCTATTTATCATACAAACACCTCCATTACATTCACACCCTACCCTGAGACTGACATAACATGTATTAACAGTTGCACCGAAAAAAAATTTAGTGCAAAAATCCACCCAGAATCTTATCCGTAACTTCACTCACTGGCGTGGAAAGTTGTGGGGGCTGTTGGTTGGTATGAGTCGAGGATTTTTTGGTCCCACCGAAACCGAGCTGTCATAAGCTTTCATTTTATTACAAATCGCGATATTAATGACATAGTAAACCTTCAAATCCACAGTGATTTGCTGTACCGACATACAAAGTCATCTAACAGTCAATATTTTGCATTGCCAAGCCAGAAGGAAAAAGAAGATAAAACATGTCTAATTGCCCAGTCTTCCGAAGCGACTGGATTAGTACGCTCGACGGATCTGTGGTGTCATTATCATGATTTTCGCCAATGTTGTGATTAACGGGAACATGAGATTTAATCTAAGTTAACACAAGCTACACGACATTGCCAACCGACAAAATCGTGTCCAATAATTTGACAATCGTAGGAAAAATCCTTTCTTCTTCAATTTACCAAAGTGCCTACACACCCAACACACCAGAATCTCCACATGAAGAGAATGTCCACCAAGAAGATCCGGAGAAGTTCGTCTCGTTACAGTTCGCAAAGACGTAAGCATTATCTTGTTCTTTTGTACACGTTGCGTGGATTGCATTTATCTATTTAGTTGGTCATCTTCACGAGAGCATGCATTGCTGATTGGAAGAATGAGTCACAACAAATTAGTGAGAAAATGCGTTAAAAAGGAATGAAAACTCGTGCAAAATACTGACGAAAGTCATTTGCGTAGGTACTTAACGAGAAAGCAGGAAAGTCGGGCAATGTCTCCTCTTACGTTGAGAGTGAGTGAATGAGTAGTGATGATTTATGAGTTTACTTACGTTAAGAAATAAACATCCAGCTTCCTTGCACCCATGAGTAATCATTTCTGAAAATATATTCATAAATCACACGACAGGCAAGGTTTCGAGGCTGTGCTTTGTAAAATACTAGACAAAAAATTCAATATGTAAATAATTGTTTCGTGCTTTAAGTCATACTTTTTTATGGAACATCGTTTGTACGAGTGATTTAAAAGTGTTGTTTGATTTTAAAATTGAAACAATTCAAAAAGCGACTAATTTATGTAGAGGAATCCAGGTTTTAGTTTCGCTTGGTCTGTCTGAGAATGCAAAATATTTCATGCTTTGGCTTGTACAACCAATTATGTTGATGTATTGATTACCCCCTTGTCATAATTTAGCACGACGCTGATGAATTGATTCTTCCAGGTCCAGACGCTCCTCTAGATACATACTAGAAATTTTTGAATACTTTTTTAAAAATGCTTATGTAGACCAAGTCTGTGCAGGTCATGGTCAAACGGATGTACTTTTTCTCCTGTGCCTATTTCGTCAATGACCTTGAACGTCTTGAAACACTAGATTTAATTAAATTGATAGGTTCGTTGAGTTACGAAAAATTACATTGTTACATAAAAAAACATTACCCACGTGCCAACTAAATTACAGCTAATAAAATAATTGCTTTGCACACTTCCGTTTCCTGATGTTATTTGTTTAGCGTTACTGACGACTTAATTTCTGTAAACGAACGCATAATCAGCATCATAATTATTATCGTACTAGTTCCACCCACCCACCATGCATGATTGTCAGATGTAAGCACCTGTTTATCCCATAGAGTTCAACACGTACGTATCAAGCATTTTCACCATCTGAATTTGATGACATGTGCTAAACAACTTGTTGGTGTAGCCTTTTTTTATGCCGATTTTCTCCTATTTCTTTCAACATATTGAGATTTCCTCTTTATTGTATGAACAGCCAGCCATTCTTTGCGTCTGCATATACACTTTATCTATATGCGAACTGTATACTTTTACAGGACTAATTGCCTGAATGTGATGAGATCTTGTTCTCTGGGATTCTTGATTGTTCCCAGCCCAGTGCAAATCTAGCATTAAAGACGACTAATTTCATGCTTTTCCTGTCACCGGTGGTACGTACGTACGTATACACTTGGTTGGTTGAACGTGTGTGACTAATTAGTACTGCTCAAGCCCCAAGCTTAGAATTTTACCCGATGTCACAGAGAGTATTGTGTGGCATTGCTCTTCGCTTTTCATGATTTCGTATATGTACATACGTCCCATTTTCTCGGGAACAGTTTGTTCATCACTCTCTAACCAATAAAATATTTTTTTATATCAAAAGCCGAATTCAGTTTTGTTTTTGGTTCAGAGCCGAAACTGACTTCATCCAAGCTTAACTTTTCCACCCTTGGAGATAAGCTGGTTCGAGACAATCCAGCTGAAGTTCATCCATTCATGTCCAATTGCGTCATTATCATCTTAACAAATGCGTTTATTTGCTATGATAAGATTTTCGATCCTCCTCGGATCAGGATGCAAATTTTTTGTCTCACTTGGCCCACTACCACTACTCCTAACATACTTGGAATATAATAAATGTCTCAACAAACTCGCCTCCTTCCGAACTGTCTCGTAAAAGTGAGTTCAGATATATGCAGATAGAACCGCAGTCGTCGTTGCCTGCCTGCTGCCTACCTTGAGTGAGACAAGCATGCCCCACTACTCCTCGAATCTTCAGAGAGAAAGAAGAAGAGAGATGGCTTGAGAAATGCGACGACTGCTAACCTGACAAGAAGAAGACTTGTGGTAACAAAAAGCATTTTCGTTTTCCTTGGCTCTCTTTCTCGGTTCGTTCGTAAAGATTCATTCAATTCGTACTTACTTCCTTACGTACGTACGTACGTGTGAATGTAGTTAGTTGGTCCCCTCTACTACTTTCTGCGTTATTCTGCAAACCTTTTTGGATGTGCTAAATGCGTCTGAAAATCGCCTATGCTGCACACTTGTCTCTTGCGAGAACGCTGTTCCCTCCCACAATCGAGGACCATTCATTAACCCTGCCTTGTTGTGAGGGCCTTGGTATTTTTGTTTGGTCATGTTGTTTTGACATGTTTTCCAACTTGGGGCAAGTTTTCCACAGGAAAAACAATGCTGGGGGACAAGTGCGCTATTTAAACCGTTTCGATCCGGCATTTCATTTCAGACGACTTGCTCTCTTGTTCGCAAATCTGTGCGCGCAACCCTTACCTAACAAGAGCCACTTGGTTTCTTTCATATAATCCATTTACGATTACCACCGCAATGTACGAACGACACAAGAGACGCTTAAAATCAGTCAACTCTTTCTTCAGTAGATTAATGTTCTTCTAGCAGCTCCTTAGTTCGCAGGAGGCGTCTTTGTCACTGGTACTTTTTTGCTCAGACTTTGAGACTACTGATTCAGAAAGTTTCCTGCTAAATTATAAACATTACTGTGCATGGACGACCCGGGTTGTTTCTCACCTCACGGATTTGAGAAAATAAATTTACGAGTTTACAAAGCTTAAAGAGCTTGCACTCCTGGTTTGGCCGCCTCCACTTGTGTTTATCTGTTTAAGCTAAGGAGAGTAGATGTAAAAGTCTTCAATTTGCGTGGAGTGGGCTCTGACACGCCCAATCAGAAAATTGTAATCTTTTAAAATCAAAAATTCTATAATACTTTTTGCAAAAAATTCGCAGATTTTTGGTGCATTGTTGCATTTATTTACTTGATTGGGTGAGGGTGACAGCGGTGACGAGTGGCTTGATTTTTTTAAGAAACAAAAGTTTTGTGAAATCCTAATTTTTCTAAATTAATCTTGCATCAAGTTCAAGTTAAGTGAAGTTACAATGAAGCCGAGAGGTCATCGAAGCGAGCGAGCGAGGGCACGCCTTGAATTTCGGCATAGCAAGCCGACCAGAGGTTCAGTTGCAAATCCGTTTGGTCACAGTCGCGGAAGTCTTACTCCTGACGGAGTTTACGAGCCATATTCGGACCCCTTTGCATCATTCAGCTTATTCCAGCGAAGGTGCAGGGCTAGAAGTGCAGGTGAATACGAAATGTATTGGGGTTGATGTGCAGATTGTGTGGTCATGGCTTGAAATGGTTATATTTTGATTGCTTTCTATTGTTTGGTGGGAAACAAACGTATTACTTTTAACTTCTTGTTTACATACTTGTCCGCTTCTAGTAAATTTAATATCACAATAATAATTTGATCATTAAAATGCGGTATTAGGGGCGCTGACATTATTACTCCCGGTAGTACTGGCATTTCCTATGTCATTCTAATGATTTCATGACTTTGTGCTTTTAAATAATACTCTAAATCGCACTTTACTCTTGCTAAAGGCTTCTTACACACAAGTCTTTTATTAGCTGAATAAAAAATAATAATATTGTCCGGTTATCAAACTTTGCTACTTTGTGAACAATATCCTCTGCAAACAAGGGCAATGAATTGATACTAAAATCAGTTAAACCAAAAAGCAATTACAATAATGTACGACAGGGGTTGATGATTGCCAAGTTTGGCTTCGCCTCATGGAAAATGTGACTAAAACGTGCAGGATAGGCAGGAAACGCTCAGAATCGGCGAAACCATTGAAGAACAAAATTAATACAGGACGTCTCGGGATTCCATTCCATGTTTTCGCAAGAATCTTTTGTATAAATTGAAAATCGGGTGTTGCTTTTAGCACTTCTCATTTATTTCAATCCCTCTTCTTCTGATTCTATTTTAGTTGTATATAATTATTTTCTTGGGACGAATTACATGCGTCCGTCTGGAATTAATGAGTCCCATCTCTTTGTGAAATCAACCAGATACAGTGTCGCAGAAATTTTAATCATGTAGTTATTTTAACCTCGCCCTTTGGATATGAAAGTACGCACACAATGTGGGTAGCCAAGATCAGAGATTATAATCTATTCCTAATTATTTGTATAATCCGGGATAGATTCATGCTATTTTTTGCGAAAAGTTATCTAATCGCCAACGGAGAATCATCCGAACCAGAATCGCCAATCTAAACTATCAATATTTTTGCATGAAGCATCGACACATTGAAATTGTACATCTGGGGTGGCTTTGTCCCAACGTAAATACGTGCACATAAACTGCGTATAAGTACATTGGAAAGTAAGCAGATTCTGTTGGAGGGCTGCTGCCCTTGCTAAAAACGGCTTTTGGGAGATATCATGTACTTTTGTGCAGATTATTGTCTGACAAAAATATGCAAAATGTTGTGTGGATGTCTATTGGTGAAACGTGTAACATGGAAATAACATAATTTTGGCACCCGTTCAACCCAGTTACTAATCGCTGTTTTACTTGTTTCTTCCTCAACTCAACGAGTGACTTGGACGGGTGGACTTGATGACACTCGGCTTTATGACTTTATACTTTTCACAACATTACATAAATAAAAATAATTGAGATCCAACAACTAAATGTAATACCTCCAACGCGAAGCCACCAACGCTCATGATGAGAAATGAGTAGCCGTCGCAAATTAAGCGTTGGCACTTTTTCATTTCTCTCTGTCTCTCTCTCTCAAAGACTTGTTGTTGATATCTTCATTGATTGTAATAAGCTCTCAGAAATCTCACGAGGATGGTCTCGGAAATCCATCCATTTCTCTGTACGCTTGTTATTAAAAAGTTTTTGAAGCGTGAACATGATAAATTATTTCTTTGGGAATTTCGGAGTAATGAATATTCCACCATCACCACCGACCGCAATACACTCATTAAAATGGACGTGCAAATTCTGCATCATTTATTTCGGATTCGTCTGGTTAGACATTTTCAATACCGTTGCTCAGCAGAAGGAACAGTAGTGCTTGCCAAGTACGTCTTATTTAAATGATTAATGATTTCGACATTATTAGTTATGTGACGTTATATCATTAGACGTATGTACATATTTTACAATTTTAATTTTTACGACATTCTGGAATACGATGAGGACGCTAATGGTTCGGTAGGAAGTTGAAGATTTTATTTATATATCTCACCCATAAATAAATTCCCACTTTTCGAAATCACAGATTTAATAATGTCAATTTGAGCATTTGACATTATTGATTTCCAGCTTCAATCCTTTGTGCGCTTAAAAAAATTATGTATATTGCATTTTATTTCAGGAGAAGATGGAGACATTCTTCCAGCGGCACCTCCACTGGAAATATTGGACGCTGTCGCAGGATACGAGATTCTGTCATTCGATTCTGGTAGGTTTATAAAACTACTTTCTCCATCTTATTCGAAGGTATAGTTTCAAAGGAATAAAGATTACACCACAATTTCCTCATTGCTATTGACATCAAATGTTCACTGGTGCCACGAAACATTGAATCAATTAGTCCGTCCAGATCATTACGGGTTGGAAAGAATTTTTAGTTTACGGAAGTGTGAAAACATTTTCATGTCGAAAGGGTTGCAAGCCGTTAACACTGTCGTCTCTAGTAAACATCCGCCGCTTATATCCTGCAAAAAAAATGTCAAACAAAGAGAGAGAATGATTTTAAGCACGATTTTTGTGCATAAAGTGGAAACAGTTGTTATTTATTTATTTATTTATTTATGTGCGTCTTGGAAAAAGTAATTAATTCACGTGGATTTTTATTTGTGGATTTATTACGTGACATTTGGCACTTGGCTTCAACGTTGTGATGCAGCAAATCCGCAAAATATTTATTTCCTGATGTTTCGACTAAAATAGGTGGCAAAAAGCCATGCATTATTGTCGCTTGCAACAAGTCATTTGAAAATTTGCTACTCCAATTGTGTGCGTTGAATTGGAGTACAAAATACACAAGAGAACAGGAGGAGATAAATTTAACTGACTTTTATTCGGCTTTAACACACATGCCAGGAATTCAATGCAGACATTGTATTGTTCAACACATGCATTAATTGCTGTAACCTGCTCTTCATCCTTACAGAACTGCATCATTAAACGTTGGCTTTAAAAACAAACGCTGCTTTCTGTAGGTCTCTGTGTCTCAGGAAAATCATTACAGTGATGCGTATGTACATTTGTATTTGTAAGTGTGAGATGATTCCAGAATGGGTTTAATTAAAACGTAGGCGGAGGGATTTAATTTGTAGCATTGTAAATATTAAGTCAAGGTTCTCAACCTTGTATTTAGATAAATAAGCCCATCCACACATAATATGTTCTTTAGAGTTTCCTTAAATTCTACTTTTTAGAGATGAAGTTAGGTTAGTGCAAATGTGTAAATGATCGTTTCATGATTCGCAATGAATGCTCAACTAAAAATAAAAGCAATAAATTTCTGTCCAAATGACGGAATCAAATTTCAAGTATAAATCAATAAAAGTCGATCTCCCACGTGTGAAAAAACTAGACACGTCTTTAGCCAGAAAATATCTCCTGTAAAATTATAAATTATCCAACATCTTCAGGATGGCTATGAATATGTTTATGTGTACTTTATCACTACCTCCCTTGTTAATTTAACGATGGCTGGTAAATAATTGCAGAGCCGTTTTATGCATATTTATAAATGTTTTTGCAGCGCCGTTTTTTATGCATATTTATAAATATGTGTGTGGTAGGTCTTCGGTGTCAAGTTTGCCAGCAAAAGAACAGAAGTGTTTTTTTGAAGAGTTTGACGCTACTCGAAATTTCGAGGCGTATAGCTCAATAAAAAGATAAATGTTCATTTGTTGATTTATTTTTCGAGCAACATGACAAGGTTATCCTAACTTTGCTTGTTTAACCAAAATATTCGCTTATTTTCAAATCTCTGCTCGAATTTAACAGTTAAATCTACAAAGCAAATACGAGAAGGATTTTATTTCCTTTGGCTTTGTAAAATCTGCCATAAACAAATGTCATAAAAGTTGAGGTTGCTTCTGAAAACTGTTCGGGTTTGAAGTACGATTTTAAATGGCAGACGTTGAACGCCGGCGAGGATTTTGTGAAGAAAAAGATGGCGGCACGCATATGTATGAATGTACATTATATATTTAGAACAAGGCTCCTGACAGGCTTGATTTCAAATATTTATTTTCTTAATTGTCTATAAGCAAGGGAAACTTTGGACCAATGTCTGCAGATCAAGAGACCCCCTTGTGGAAATTTCCTACGGACAGCAGCAGCAAAACTTTTTCAAAGAAATTCCTATTCATATTCTAAGAATATATCTCAAAGAAATTTCGCATGAAATTTCGCAAATCTTTATGCTAATTATAGCTATAAGCTTAATTTTTACATGGTTTTGCTATACAGAAATTTAACACTTCTCTTGAAAAATGTTCAATACCTTGGTTCATGTGGTGGTGGTGGCGTCGGGGGCTTATGAGGAATAGGTTGATTGACGCGATCTGCTTTGGAGCTCATTAGGCTCCACATACATAATATCATCTTCAAAAGTCCTGCTTTCAGCCAAAACTTTTTTCTGTTTACTGCAATCGGGTGGAAATGACGAGATAAAACCATTCGACAAAGTGGAAGGTGTCAACGTCTGATGGACAAGTGTTCATTTAGCACAATTCCACTTACAACGTTGTCGAGTGACGCCTCAAACACACAACGACACATGTGGCCACGAGCGATAACGAGTGTTCTAGTTTTCAAGCTGTATATCTAAGTTTTCCATGCCATGCTTGTCACCAGTAAAAAAAATAGTTTGTTATGTTATATATATTTTTTAAGTTCATAACTGCACATTTAAATTTTCTATTCTCTCAATTTGAGATTAGATTCAAGGTACAATATTTAGAAAATATATGTTAAAACTTATATCTGAAATCTGATATCTGAAAAAACTTGAATGACTAACCAGCCCGTGAGACGTTTTGTGACGAGAAAGATATAGTTCATCAACAGTTTGACAACCGAAGAAGTTATCATGTGTCCAATCTTATCTTTCATAATACTGTATGCTTCTGAAATAGAGGATGACATTCGAATTTATCACATCTCGGTTTCACGTGGGATATAATGCATGTTGATAACCGTTTGAGCTGATTGTACACACACACGGTTAGTATTGAGACAGTTTGAACTTACGATTGGCATCTTGCCCACAATGTTAAGGTATCACTAGCTTTTTGTACTAGTGAAATCTGCATATGATGAATCTTAAAAGGTTATTTCGTTGCTAAATTTTTGCTAAATTAAAATGAAATCATGGTCTTTATCTTAAAATTTAAATTCAGATTATTATCCTGAAGCTGTTAATTATTAATCAAGCGAGGCGCCTTTGTCTGTGAAAAAAGTTAGTTGCAGTTTTCAAGTAGGTATCACATCAACAACTCGGTATTGCTATTGTTGTACTCCCATTATTTTGCAACATGTCGTCCAAAAGTGTAGGATAATGTGATGTGAATGTGATGCGGTTAGAAATATAAATTAAGTCACACTGGCAGTTTTATGTGCATACCAAATAATTGATTGCAATCACATCTCAGTCAAATAAATATTCAGTTCAGTTGTTTGAATTGAGCCTTGAATTCCTGAACGTTTGAAATAATTCTTCGGTCCTGGGCACAGTTTAAGACAAAAACTACTAAGCAATTTAAAGACACGCTTGCGATTTTTTAATTTACTGGGCGGTTCCACACTTCCACCGATTACTATTATTATCATTTGTTCCGCAAACAACCAAGAGAACAATACGACACTTTAAAAAATGGAGTCGACATTGAAAGCCACCTGCAAAACATTTGTTACAGGATCATGTCATACATACATGTGCTTCAAACCATCAGAAGTGACTCTGCACAGGCCTAATCTGAAAGAGTCGAAATATAGAATATATATTAGTATTTCAAATGAAAACTATGTATGTAAAACAGAGACGACGCTCATTTTCTTAATTTAACGAACTCTTTTCCTTTGGTTTTTGCAGTAAGTATTCCTCCCCCAGAGCCTTATGGGGATTTAGGTTCACTGGATCCAGAGCAGCAGCAAATACTGGGAACATGGTCACCCAATCCATCTCCAGATTACAACCTTCGTACCGATATTCCGCAAGTGAGTGCTTTCACTTCGAGCGAAACGATGTGTTAATTTCCGCATTTTCTTTGGGTAATCTTTCTTTAAACTATTTCTTAGGTGACGGAACCAACAGCAAGATCTGCGTTAATGGGCTACGTCAAAAACCATTGTTGTTGGGGAGGTGGGGCAGCCAAACACATGACCATAACTGGAATCAGGCACAATTCTGCATATCACGTTGGATATAAAATTAATATAAATTAAAGAGATATTCGATTATATAAATTACAATTTATTATATAATTATTAATAGTATGTGCTACAAACCTTGACCGAAAAGAGAGAAGCTAGATGGTCCTGGTCTCCTCATGTGGCTGGGGACGTGGATGGACCTGAAAACGGACTTGCGCCTGCCCCCTGGGACATTCCAGCCTTTCCAACGAAATTTTTTCGCACAGAAATCAAAGCTATTGAAGTATTGCTCACAAATATTCTGAAAATTATTTTGATCTTTGTCCATTAAATTGATCGTGTACAGATTCCGCATACGGCATCAATAAAACCGTGTCATCGATGTCGTGGAACCGGAACGCTGGCATGTCCCAACTGTCACGGGAAAGGGTGGACTCGATGCCTTTCGTGTCAAGGGGAAGGTTGGGGACTTGGGTCTGAATCTAGGGAGCGTTGTATCGTTTGTGGGACCTCGTCGCACGGACATGGAAGGATAGACTGCAACCGATGTGACACCAAGGGACGCGTGGCTTGCTCTGTGTGTGATTCCTATGGTCAACTCAAGTGCTTTATTCAGCTCTCTGTTTCCTGGTGAGTGTTTATAAAGTAAATTGATTGCAAAAGTGTGCATGGAAGGTTGATTTCATATTACAAATTGTATAGGAAAGTAAATATTGGAGAACATATCACCGGTGCGGATGAAATTGAAACCGACCTTTTGCGAGGTGCAGAGGGACAAATTGGCATTGAAGACTTTGGGGTCCATCTTACTCCACTTCCGGCTGACGTAATAGCGGACGAAACATTGGCCATGGCGTCAATTCAACTGATCAACGAGCACATTCAGAACTCTTCGGATTCTCTACTTTTAGCTCAGGTGCTTGATTAAATTGATACGCCCAGACAATATACGTTGATTTTTTTGACTTTGAAAGAAATTTTTTGAATAAACTAATATGCTTTTTCGTTCTTCAGAGACACCAAGTTCGAGTAATTCCGGTTACATGCATCGACTACAAATGGAAAAGTCATACCGGTAGCTACTACGTTTATGGGCTTGATAATAAAGTTTATGCGCCAGATTATCCACAAACTTGTTGTTGTTTTAGCCGTTGTATTATAGTGTAGCAGCTTGTGTTGTGGAGGCACAATTTTATAATTGAATTGTTTGGCGATATAATTTTATTTTTCAAAAATTTTAATTGGTAAAAAGTTTTTTTATTTATTTCAAATAACTACGTATTTACTTTTGTGTAGATTATGTATGAAATGGCTTATGAGAAAATAAATAGAATATTATTGCATAACTCAGGGCAAGTTCATCCAGACATATGTTTGGGTTTTGTTACTATTATTTTATTGCAATTTCGTGACTTAAATGGTTTGTAATGTCATGCAGATTCCATTCCAATCTCATCGTAACTCTACACATCTCATCATCTCCTCGGTGAGATGATGATGAGACGGTACAACAAAATCATAATAACAACAAAATTCCTGAATGAATATCTACGCAATTCCCACAAGAGCATTTCTCCAGTTAAAGAAACAGTTAAGGTTAAAATTAGGGATTTATTCTCCGAATTTAACATCTTAACTGGTACACACTTTTAATGACTTTCCTTCTTAGAATGAACTCCCCTCGACAACTTTGTGTACATAGTTAAGTTATGCAGCTAAACTATCATAATCATTAGCAATGCTACTGGTTAGTGGTGATAAGTGTGTGGAGCAATAGTACAAGGAAAGCTAATCGCTTTTAAAATTACCAGGCAGTCATTTAATGCACATTCATTTCGTTACCTCCTTGAAACAGATTACAGTGTTTACTATTCTTCCAGTGTAATTTTAATAACAGTCGACACATCCTCCCCAATATAAATTCATTTGCACTAGGCTTGCACTATTTCAAATAATCACAATGAGATTGAACCATCAATTAATTTACTTACAACACTTATAACACGACACCCAGGGTCCTTTGACTGTTTCCTTGGAGGATTTCTAGACAGGGTCGTGTCAGTTCAAAAATTCTCCAAAATTTTTTTTACAGATTTTAAAGTTTGGGAATATGCGCTATTTTTGCTGGGAGAGTTTGGTTGTCAAGAAAAATAAAATATTTTATAAACCGTCGTAAAATGACAACGATTTAATTTAATTGCAAATTAAGATAGTTATAAAATAATTGAACTAGAATCGGTATAAAAAATGGTACCTACAAATTTTTCGCATGCACTTATGACGTTTTATAGAATATTTTATTTTTCTTGACAACCAAGCTCTCCCAGCAAAAATTGCCGTATTCTCAAACTTTAAAATCTGCAAAAAAAATTTTGGAGAATTTTTGAACTGACACGACCCTGTCTAGAAATCCTCCAAGGAAACAGTCAAAGGACCCTGACGACACCACATTAGCAATGATAGATAGGTAATAGGAAACCAATTAGAATAAATGGCACATACATATTATGTATGTAAATAGTTAGTTAGTTAGCAGAATAAGTTGCAGTGAATTGCTTGGTTAAAGTTGCTTGGAGAAAGTTGACCTCCACCTTCCTCTGCCATCACCTCCATCATCACCAACCCAAATATAAGAACTCGGTAGTAAATATTATTGTTGTGAGACGACGACGAGGACAAAATAAACTGTGTAACGCACCCTTTTCTTATATACATGTGGTACACATGTATTAATGTAACACAGCGTGCCCCTTAATTTGTGACTATTTTTCAGGATTAATGAACTGTTCGTGAAATTACAATAATTATAACTTTATAAATTTCAAGTTCGAAAAATCATAAATAAGACCGATCTTACGACCACAAATTTAAATTAATATGCACACATGTAACTAGTTTAATCAGGTTTAATCATAACTGGGGACCGGAACCTGACGTTATCATGGGGACATTTCCTACTTAATTATAATGATGTCATATTTACATATGTAAATGTCCCCAGGAGCAGCAGCTTGCAACAGAAGTTTGCTTTTTAACTTGAATTTCTTGGGCGTTACAACCTTCGGCTTGCAACGCGGTTCTATATAGTATCCTTCGTCAGCCGGATTAAGAAGATGCCATCAATAATTATATCAATAATCTTCATTCAAATAAATTGATCATTCAATTTATTCCGCATTCCTCCAGAAGATCTTCTCTCTCTTTCCTGCATAAGCATGACGACTCATTCATGATGATCCGGACAATTCATTCTCCTACACAATTACACTAATCCTCCATTTCCTATGAAAATCGATAAGCACATCTTTTGTGGTTGAATGACTCAACGTGAGAATAGTGATGGCCACCACCATTCACATTTAACGTTGCAACTGAATATACCTAAATACAACCCGGTCAAGAATTTGGAGACATTGCCCTCCATATTTCATTTGAATATTACAAGTTTCAACTCTTCACCTTCCCAATGAATTGGAACTTGTTGCCTTTGCATAAACTAAATATTGGTCGTTATCTTAAGAGTCTGTCGAGATACTTGTTCTTCTTCCTTCACAACATCCGTCATCTCATTATAGGTGAAGTGGATGGAGGTTGAACCCTTTTCCTAGAAACTAACTTACCCAAACCTATGGTCGCCTTTTGGAATATTTTTAACTTGTGCATGCATTGTTCATATGGACATCCAACCCATATTGTAAATTTGTGTCCTCTGTTGTAGTATATTCTCTCGTATTTAATTATTTATGCTGCTGTTGACAACCAAAAGCTTTACTCACCATGACGACACATAGGAATACTCCATTATCAGATGTCTATATATATGCCAAGAGCGAAGACTTTTGAGAAAATTCCAAGGGAAAGGCACTCCTCCGTCCATCAACAACAACCAACCAACTAGTATTATCTCCAGTGTTTATATAATTTAAATATTCTACAGCGAACTTCCAGTCGAGTAAAGTCCACAACTGGAGCAACGAGAAGAACCGAATTCAAGGGGACACCACTTATTTACTACTTGCACCTTATCTCCGTACTCCGTCGTCTACCTGTTGCTTCCTCCTCTCCGTTTTGTTTTGGCGGAGAAAACCAACCGTTGACTTGACCTCGCCGGCCTGTGAAGTGAAAAGCATTATCATTGGCCCCTGCCCTCTCCTCTCCTCCTCCGTGAATTAGTCACCACCATCATCGCCGTCGTCTACCAAGTTTTTTTAGAGGAGTATTATTATAAAAATATAGTAAGTTTAATTATTATTTTTATGTCCAATATTTTATTGAGGAGGGACAAGTAAGAAATTTGAAAGTTGAGTGAACCTGCGAATAAATTTGTCCTTTTAATTTTTTTGCCTGTAACGGTAGATATTATTTGGAAGTCAAGAGAGAAGGCGAAGGTACACGAGTGTTGGGTTTTGAACTTATAATAACAACTCACGATAACTGGAGTAATTGGGTCTGCTGCATATCCATACAATGCATTGAGTTATGAGGAAGCCAAACTATTGAATTGTCACCTCTCATTATTATTAAACGGTGGCTGAGTTGGTTAGAGTGCGTAGAAGTGTGGTTAGTTAGTTAGTTGTTGTTAGAGTTTAATACTCGGAATCTGTTCGGGAGGACGTCTCAACTTCCCTGGTCTTAACTGGCTGGACTTGTTCACTCATCTTCTTCATCATCATCCTCCCACCATTTACTTATTAATTTCTTCTTTCTCCAGCACATAAGAAGACGGGACAGCGTTCCAAAAGGTTATTCACTGTCGGACTCTTGACAAGGTGAGACACGGGTTGTTCCGTTTGTTTGTTTGATTTGTAATTGCCCTACTTGATTTTTTTAAATACATTTTACGGTGGTGGTGATAGTACATAGTGGGTTCAATTGGTTGCACTGACCTTGTTTTTTTTCTCCCCCCTCTTTTTTTGTTCCCAGATTAGGTGTTAACTACACGTTTTAGTAGAAATCGGACAGGATACGAACTTTCAAACCCACCATTTTTTAAGAAACAGAACCAATTTTACTTTGCAAATATTCCAAAGAAAATATGGCAGCTTCTTTGATTCAGGCACAATCTCAAATCGCCTCCACCTCGTCTCATAAAGCAGTTATGTCGACAGGCAAGGACGTTAAATCGGCCAAGGATCGCGTGGAAATAGCGGCGGAAGCGTTGGAAAATTTCGATATTCTGGTTGAACCCATGGACGACGAGACTGGGGTCAAGACGGCGGAGGAAGATCCCATACCTCCAGAAAGTATAGGTAAGCATATTGGTTTCTATTTTGTTCTTTTGCAGCAGCATCGGAGTAGAGTTGCATCCATTTCATGGCATACAATGTACAATTCGCACGACATACACAAACTGCACATGTACTGACTTACCTAAACTGCAAACACGGAGAGTCTCACTTTGCCGCATTAAAAAAACTGCAACAACCTCAGACATTAACTTGATTTTAAGAATGCATATTTGAATTCTCGATAAGGGGGACGTCGATGCAGGACAGCATAAATTTTAATGACCTTAGTATAGAAAAATTAAAGTAGGAAATAGGCATCAATCGCATTTCCTTATTTCTTTTGCGCGAGTTTAAATGGAGAGCACTGCAGTACTAAAAATATGATTTGAACCTCCTCTCCTATAGTACGAGCATAGTATTTAGTGTCCAATTATTTCTCGAAATTATTTATGTTTAGACTTTAATTACGACTTAAGTAGTACTGGATGCCGTTGTCTTTGCTGGTCACCTACCTCATGCATGACTACATTGACCCTATTTCTAAAATAAAATAAAATGCTTGCATATCAAGCAATAGTACTATGTGCATACACACATAACCAGGAGGTGTATTCAGTCAAAGACTTTATACATTTGACTTTAACTACTCTTTATTTGACCATTTAACCAAAACAAATTAGTACTTTATGCCTGGTAATTGGTAAAGGTGGTTCACCTGAACAATTTAAAAAATCATTAATGTGACATTAATCCTACAAATGGATGATTTCGTGGAAACCTTGTGCCCTCATTTCTGAATGAATTTCGTTATTTCCTTGCTGCACTTGTCTAGCTCTTGTTGTGTAGAAATTTGTATTGTTTCAAATAAAAATCGACAGCTACCTGAAAAATTCATTACTGAAAAATTCTACCAATTTTTTTTAAAAAGAGTGTAAAGTCTGCGGGATATTGATTAACTAGCATTTATGTTCTGACTGTCATTCCCATCAGTTTAATCACCTCAGAATTTAGTGACCATGTAGTATTTAGTCAACGGACTAAACCAAAAGGTTCTCTTCTTTCATTTTAATTAAGGTGGAGATTTGTAGTCATATAATTTTTGTAAATTAAAAAAATTAGGTAATTCAATTTATATACGAGT